AAATTTCCGACCAAAAAATCATTCATGTCGATCAAAATTCCATGTGTAGAGTCACCCTATAGTGATCATATAGACAAAAATAAGGTGAAGTAGACTTTACGCATAAAGTTCTAGTCGTCACGTGTGATTTTTTGGTCAGAAATTTGAATGAAATCTCAATTCGAAACATTTATGTATAGTTAAGGTACCGTTTTGATTCATTTAAGAGTTAAGGTACCAAAATGCAACATTACCAATAGTTAAGGTACCATTTATGCATTTGACCCCAAAAAAATCATACATAGTATAAAATTTATTCAAAAGAATTCTTTACGTAATCAGCCTACTTCCACAGTACGTTTAAAGAAAAAACAACCATTCATTGAGTTTTTGGCCTTGTTGAATAGCAATTCTTGACCAGAGGCACGATAGAGTGAAATTAATTATATATTCCATCCGTTCATCAAAACTTGGTTAATTAACCGGTTAGGAAGATTAATAAAGTAAAAATTATGTGATTGAATTTTCAATATAGAAATATTATAGAAACCGTGAATTATTAAATGGAAAGACAAAGTGTTAAGGACTAAGGAGTGTTCAATCTCACCGAGGTGAGGATAGGCATGAGGCGCCTTTTGTCTCTGCCATATGGAGTACTATTAAGGGGCATAATAAGATGATTTACGTGATGTACTATTAATATACTACGTATATAGTTAAGAGGAAAATTATATTTGTACACAAAATTAATAAATAAATTGTACACACTCCGAGGGGCTTACATTTAGTTTAAAATGATATGCTAGAATATCTGTGCATGTAGACCGTGTAGAATTTACGTGCTCTCTTTTTTGTTATGATGATGACAGGCGCGACTGCTGTTGAATACTGCTATGTCCTCAAAATGGGTTCTCAGCTCTTTGTTTCTCCCGCCAGTAGTGCCAGGATCCTTGATTTTATAGCCATGGCTCAGAGAATTGGTGCTTGTTTCTCTCTTTATTTTTAGTTTCGTATCTATACAACTTGCATCCTTTTCTTATTATGAGTACTAGTATCTTAAAACGGGTTCTCATACGTAAACATTACAAATGTTTATACTACGTATGTTATGCATTTATAAATCTTACTATTGTATTACTTTCTTCATCAAGCTAAAATTGCCTTTTATAAATCTTACTATTGTTTACTTTCTACATATGTTATGCATTTATAAATCTTTTTTCGAGTCGTCCTATTAAGATTGTTTCATACCAAATATGATAAAATTCGTATAGTTCTAAATCATTCTTATTTTATTCTTATTTTAGCAATTTAAGGGTGTCTAGATCTGATTTTTAAAACTGCTTCTGTCCAGGGAGCAGAAGCAGAAGTTGGAGTGTTTGGGTCATTGTGCAGAAGTGATTCTGGTGCTCTAATTTACTCCTAAAATCAGTTTTTTTAAAAGCTGAGAGAGACCAGCTTCTGAAAACTTATTCTGCTTCTCCTTTTAAAAAGAAGCAGAAGCAGAACCAGTTCCAAACACCCCGGCCCTTAATACTAACCTGATAACCTATTTTGATTTTTCTTAATAATCGCATACCTCTTCATGTCACAATGTTAGTGGTATGAAGTAGTATTCCGTATTATTTTATCACAAGGATGACTGGATGAGAGAGTTGTAAACAAATCTTTTATTATACAAAAGCAAAATGAAATCTGTACAGTGTTCCCGCCCAAACACTGTACAGTAACGGGCCGGGTCAAGTGGATATGGGTTCAGTGACGGGTCAGACAGCAAGTTCAATGGCCTGCTTAATAACTTTCAGTAGAGGCCCAATGTCCAATGCAGATTGTGTGGCTCAAGAAATTAATTTAGTGGCTCAATAAAAGTAGGTTTGATTTGTACACCGAATAAATAAAGATTTGCATCGGAAAGAGTAAATAATATACAAGCCGTCCGCTATAGTTGACTGGCTGCCTTGAAGAAACAAATACAGTCCAGATAAATTGAATTCTTATTAATTGTCTCCGAACAATGTGCCGCTACAGTACAAGGATTAAATGTTTCCTCCACTTTTACAATAAATGCCGAACACCAAGCTGTTCACATATGCATACAATTTCTCTTTATGCCCAACTCAAGTACAGGAAAACTGTCCAATCAATGGATCTTTGCAGATCTTTGTTCGTTGGATAAATGGGACATGCCACAATGGTACATAATACGAATCTGCTATAAGTAAGGAGGATTTAGCATGGCAAGAGCACATTAATTCCTTTTTTCATAACAACAATTCAGAGCAAGGGCACGTGCCTTGGAGGCTCCAACCATTCAAGGTCTTCCATGATTGAGGTAAAAAGACACCTTAAAATTCACAATCTTTTTTTAATTTATGGAAATAGCTTTCTCCTGTCAATGTTTTAGAATGGTTCCTTTTTTGTTAATAGCCAACAAAGCAAATGCATTGAGAGGGAGAGTTGTAGGTGTCAATGAAGTTCATACCATTAAAGGGTGGGGGGGGGGATTCAATGAAGAGAGGTATATCATTTAAATAAAAATATGCAGTTTTGGAAGATTTTCATAGTAATGAGGCCAACATTTACTAAAATTGAATGGGAGAATGTATACATCAACTAATAATCATTGCCAATCTACTAAATGATGAGCCAAACCGCATATGATCAGCTGAGTTTCCAGTTACTTTTTAGTTTATATTGCTTATTTTGCATGTTTCTTGCAGGATTTATGGTGAGGCATATGGATCAAGAGACTGCAGCAAAATCAACATCCAATAATAGCAATGTGTTGAGGAAAATTTAAATACGAAATAGATAGATCTGATTGATTTGGGCATATCATATGGTGTAGAAATATAACATTTGTCGATGTAAAAAACACAATTTATGATTTTCGGTGTGATGGTTATAAATAATTATAAATTTATATTTAACTTTTTAGTGCATATATATATATAAATAATTGTGTGTGTGTACATATTACAATCCAAATTGTCAGATCAAGAATTCATTTACACTCTAAACAAAATATCTAACAAGAGCATCTATTATAAGAATTTATGCTTAAGTCCTGATATGAGACTAATTATTTATTATAAATAGTGAATAATACTTACTTAAAGATAAGTGTTTGATCTATTTCAGTACAAGACGTATGACATATTAGTGATTAGTTATAAGCTAAAAACCAAATCAGTTCAATTCATGGTTATTATTTTAGGTAGCAAAATATCTGGAAAAAAGTTCAATAAGTTCATCATATAATGACAAAGTGGTTTGAGATCAAAATAAATTTAAAAATAAAATAATTTAAAAACCCAACCAACCGACAATTTTTATTATTGAAATTAGAAACTTAATTAAAGAGAGTTGTTTAAACCAATTCAGCCAAATAAAATGTATTATTAAAATATAAATGTTATCTACTTCGTATTTAACAAAAACAGCTAAATACACACAATATTCTAAGCATATGCTGAAAGAACTATGATAATAAAAGAGTTGTTTTCTAATATTTTTAAAACCCAACCCAATACAGTTCTTATTGTTGTGATTAGAAGCTTAACTCTGTTAGTTCGTAAATAGAATAAAATACAGTTGTTAGAAAAGCAATTATAACGAATGAATTAAAATTACTTAGGTGAAATCAAACAGATCGATTGTGGTTCAGAAATGTACCCAAAACACAGTCGGCCATGTGATGAAAACAGTTCGCTAAGGTCGGCCTAAAAAGTAATACACAGATAATCTAGCGACAAAGACAAGGTCAGGAGACTTCAACTCAGCGAGACAAACCCATGTGATTTCAAGTAATCGACTGAAGGAGTCAAATAATATCGAGTGCTGGAGGAAGAAGAGTCTACAACATCGGGTTTTAACCGATGGCTCTGGACAAAGCAGGCGGATAATACAGACTACCGGGTAACGAGGGGTTTATATATTTAGGGTTTGGTATGTGTGCGTATTTAATACGCAAGTGAGGTATAAACTCCGTATATGGCCATATGGGCAGATGGTGTCTAAGTTTGGGTTTCTTTGGATCCGAAAGTATGTGGACTGGGTCCAAAATATAAAGTCTGATTTCAATTTTGCATAATTTCATATTAGCTGGGGTGGTTGTGATCAAATAGGTTGATAGGCCATTTGACAAGAATGTTTTTTTGGTTAATTAGACTTTTCTGCCAGTTTTTTTTAACCAAACACATAATTTTTGCTTTCGCGCGCTGAATTGTGTAATAAGCAGAAAAAGTAAGGTTGACCTTACTTTTCTGACTGTATTGGATGACGTTACTATACATGACCATTTTAGCTATTTTTACATATAATTTTTTCTTTATTTTATTAATAAAATGTATTTTAAAAATATTTTTTCTTAAATCAGCAGCATCAGCCAATGCAGACACTTCAGTCAGAATTTCTTAAATTTCAACCAAAACAACCCATTTTCGTGCTACCAAACGGGATCAAAATATAACAAGTTGGAGGGGTGTTTATCCAAGTTTCAATGTTCTGAAATGGTTGGGTTCATTATATTTATAGTGGTTAAAAATTACTCCATATAATTACTCCATATAATTTATAATACCTAAAATGTTATAATGAAACTAATAAATTACATTTCATCTGTCCCTTAAACAGATTAGACTAGACTTAGACAGACCAGATCAAACCAGACCAACAAATTATAGTCCAAGTAAAAACATCCTAAGTACGAAGTAATATATTTAGAGTGTGATATACAAACATACTTCATGCATGAGATTGTCATTCCGATGTTAAGCTTCACTCTTTCGGATTAAAGAATACCGTTCAAGTTTCAAAGAAGACAATTTCCAGTCATGACCTCTTACACGAGGACTATAAATAAGAGTCAAGGACAATCTTTGTCCCATGTTGGACTCTTATTGAAAAAGTCGATCTTCACGCATGATCAACTATATGTTGCACTGTCAAGATAATGATTAGAAGATAATGATCTACAATGAAGATGATCAGTCAAACTGACCATACAACCAATGTAGTGTATAAGGATTTTTTTTGCAATTTATAGATTGCGAAACGTTATATAACATTTCGTTATTCTACTTATTCCAAAACGTACTTACTATATATCTCTGAGTTTTCACTATTCGAACTTTACTTGTAATAATAATGCATGTTACGTACGTCTATGACAATTTGCATTCATTTCACACGACCAACTAATATTTACAAATAATATCATATTGCTATTACATTTTAATATTCGCGCATCGCGCGGGTGAAAATCTAGTACTCCGTAATAAGTACATACGTCTGCCCTGACTTCGCTGTTTTCCAGGTGATTATTGGCGGAGCTGTTGTTGCAACAGGTTTTGGTGGTGGAGCATCTGCAGCCCCTGCTTGTGCTACAGCCCCGGCTGAAGCAGCTCCTGCAGAAGCAAAGAAAGAAGATAAAGAAGATAAAGAAGAGAGTGATGAAGGCACGGGGTTCACACTGCTTTGGCATGAATTTAGTTTACTAGATTTGAGACACTTGTGCCATGGATTACTATTAAAATAAAGTTGAAAGTGGAAGGAAATTTCTTGCTGCTCATTCATGCATGATGATGTTACATATATACTACATTAACGCATGGGAGATCCTCCGTATCACATACGTCCCTGCGAGATAATCTAGGAGCTAAAGAAGGAAAGAAAATCAAGGAAAATAAACTCCTAGTCTAATACAAACGTTACACGTAAATTATGTACAAGAAAATAAATTGTACATAAAATAATAATTGTACAAAGTATGACTAACACCCCCCTCAAGATGGAGCATGGGGGTCACAAATGCCCATCTTGCCAAGCAAGTAGGAGAATTGTTGAGCACCTAACGCTTTAGTGGCATGATGACAGGCGCGACTGCTGTTGAATACCGCTATGTCCTCAAAATCGATTCTCAGTTCTATGTTTCTTCTGCCTGTAATGTCATTATCCTTGATTTTATAGCCATAACTTCAGAATTGGTGCTTGTTTCTCTATTTATTTTTAGTTTCTTATTTATACAGCTTGCATGCTTTTCTTATTACGAGCACTAGTATCTAAAGACGGGTTCTCAAACATGAACATTACAAATGTTTATACTACGAGCACGTTTGGTAGCATCAAAATCGGCTAATATGGATGATTCTGCTATAATTTATGAAGTTCTGGTTGAAGTGGCTTCATTGGCTGATTCTGCTGATTTAGGAAAATATTATTTTTAACATATATTTTATTAATAAAATAAAGAAAACATTATGTATAAAATAACTAAAATGGTCATCTACAGTAACTTCAACCAATACAGTCAGAAAAATAACTCTAACTTTACTTTTTCTGTTTATTACACAATTTAGCGCGCGAAAACAAAAGTTGCGTGTTTGGTGAAAAAGTTGGCTGATAAGCCTGATAACCTGAAAAATAGTGCTGCCAAACGGTCTCTACGTATTTAATGCATTTATAAATCTTACTATCGTATTACTTTTTTTGTCACGCTAAAATTGTGTCATCTTTTTTTCGAGTCGTCCCATTAAGATTGTTCCATACTGAATATGATAAAATTTGTGTAGTTCTAAAACATTTTTATTTTATTCTTATTTTAGCAATTTAGGGGGTGTCTATATCTGATTTTTAATATTTTGATCCTCCAGGGAGCAGAAGTTGAAGTGTTTGGGTGATTGTACAGAAGTGATAATGGTGCTCTAATTTATTCCTAGGATCAATTTGTTTAGAAATCGGGGGAGTAGAAGCATAAGTAGAATCAGTTACAAGCACCCCCTTAATACTAACCTGATAATCTATTTTAATTTCTCTTAATAATCACATACCTCTTCATGCCACAATGTTAGTCATATGTATTCCGTATTAGTTATCACAAGGATGAGAGAGTAGTAAACAAATAATATGGAGTACTACATAACAATTATGAAAAGTATAATAAGTACATATGCCTTCCCTAACTCCACCGTTTTCCAGGTGATTATTGGCGGAGCTGTTGTTGAAGCAGATTTTGGAGGTGGAGCATCTGCAGCCCCTGCTGGTGCTGCAGCCCCGGCTACATCAGTTCCTGCAGAAGCAAAGAATGAAGAGAAAGAAGAGGAGAGTAATGAAGACATGTGGTTCACACTCTTCGATTAGGCAATTACGATTGTTCTAATATGTTATTTTATCTATATGGTTTTTGAGAAAAACTGTTTTGGCATTAATTTAGTTCACTAGATTTGAGACACATGTGCTATGGATTACTATTATGATTTGAAGTGTTTTCTTAGGATTCTTTTTTATTAAAAAAGAAAGAAAAAATAAATAAAAACGTCATACATTACAAATTATTGAAGATTTACTTGTATATGATCTACCGTGCTGCTGTTGACGTGCACTTTGTCGTGATGTGCACTCAAAATAATAATACAATACAACACTTATACGTAGTATAGTGTAGTAAGGTTCATATTCACATAGAAAGGAATATTTCTATTTTTGTAACTAGTAACATAGGGGGTTTTGGATTTTTTGTTGAAGAACTATAAGAATATTTAAACACAAAGATGAATGACTTATGTGGTTTAATTAATGAGAAGAAGACTTGGTTTTGCTATTATCCACTTAATGAAATGTTCGTCGATCCCAGTTATATCTTTAACTATCTTCCTCTCGAACACTCAATCGAGAAGTATATCCAGTTCATCGAGGGTAGTTATTAATAACGAGACGCGTTCATTAATAAAACTTACTACCGAGTTAATATAGAACACGCGTCGTATATTAACCCGATAGTAGCAATAAAATCAAGATGAAAACGATTGAGATTGATAACCTCAACCCAAGCGGTTTATTTATCGGTTTAACCAATATAATTAATTCCTCTTCGGTTATATATTAACCATGAAACGCATGCATTAACAACCCAAGTTTACTACCGTGAAAGGACCGAATTAATAACAAGTGTATTAATCGATCGGTTCTAGTAATAATTAATATATGAAACAAAACTAGTTGATCCTTTAAGTAATGATCAAAATATTAATATGAGATAGGAATAGGAATTAATTAATATTCAAGGAAGAAGATTAAAGAAGATAACTCACAACTTACAATTCATTAAGCTTCAAAGTAGCAAAACCAAGATGGAAGAGTTTAGCTCCTCATTTGGAGACTAAACATTATAAAAATATAAAGGAAGAACTTATCTAGACTGAGCTTAGAAGTGTATAGGAATTGGTGATTTTATTGGGAAGAAAAGAGGTGTATTTATAGGCTTTTGGGAGCTGCAGGGTCTGATACCCGACCGGGTATATAGGATACCCGACCGGGTATCTTAAGAAATTGCACAGAAAGTCACTTTTCTGGGGCATACCCGATCGGGTATGTTGGTATACCCGATCGGATATGTGACAAATCTTCACGAAAATTCGCTCCCACAATCATTTGTTCCCGGATTTGATTTGGACAATCGAATCAATCAAATACCCGATCGGGTATAGGCAATACCCGATCGGGTACATGAATATTTTTTCCAAATCGAAACCTTTCTTGCCTCCTTGCACTTTCCTTGATCTTTTCCGGTCCAATCTTGATCCCTTGAATGATCTTTGACTTGTTTAGCTCAGAATAATCCTAATCTAAACAAATTACAAATAAAAAATGAAAATAAAGTATTACACAAAAAGTGTGTAATTTCCACAATTAGAACTAATAAAAACTAGTTAAAAATACAAACATACAATCAGAAATTACACGAATATCAGCTGTGTTTTCTTATTTCCCTCATCACTCAATATGACAAAAATTTCTCTATTCTGCTCCCTCTGTATCTATTTAGATGACCCATTAGGCTTTTTGAGTAATTTGAGATGAAATATAAGTGTATTGTAGATAAGTAAAAAACACTCAATACGGCTTTTTGCTTAGATTGTCCGTCTATTCATTTTTTTATAAAATGTTTAAGAACATGTGAATAATCCATTCTGCTCTTTCAATCTTTCAATAAAACATATTATTCAAGCAAAAAGAACGCTAATAGTTAACAGATAGTTTAGGTTAAAAAAAATGAGTCATCTATTGATTAATTTAGCATACTTCCTCTATTTTGTACTTTCTTAACATATTATCTATTACTATTAGTCTATTCTATGAGTCTCCTGCTTTAGGGGGTTTTTCAACCTAACTAGCATTTGTTTTTGTGTGTGAAGAAAATAATGCTAGTTACAAGGTATCAAACCTAAGAACGTACCAATTAGTGACTCCCCTCACTTAGCTCGAAGCACTGTTCCTAGTGCTTGTCTCCGTCATACCCGGGTTGAAACGGACATCCTTGTAGCCTTGAATTGGTCCCCTTACATTTGAACTTTCGGCCCTATCCCTTTTATGTGCCATTGAATGTTGTTTTTGGGTCTTGGAATTCGGACTTGAGGGTAGGGAGTAGGGTTTCGTGTTTTTTGTGTAGATGGAAAAGATATGAGGATTTTTGGGTATTGGATTGTAGAGGGAAGTGATGAGAGTGTTTTGGTTGTGGTATGAGTGAGTAATGAGGGAGAAATTGAAGAAAGAAGTTTGAAGACTGGAGGTTGGGGGAGAGAGGGTTCGACTTTTGGGAGGAAATTTGGGGAAGATGAGTGTTTTGGGCGTGAAAAGGGCTGGAAACGGAGGTGTACCCGATCGGGTATCCCTATATACTCAATCAGGTATATGTGGTTTGTTCAGTTTTGAGGTGTGTACTCGATCGGGTTGGTGAGGCAGTGAGTTTGGGTTTTCCAGCCATACCCGACCGAGTATATGTATGTACCCGATCGGGTATGCACAGTTTTGTAAAAATATACCTGTGATCGATCGGGTAGCATTTCGGTTCCTCATTTCAGCTGATACCCGACCGAGTGATTTAAAGTACCCAAACGGGTATCTTCCCAAATCATTAAAATCTGCACTTTTCTTCTTTAATTTTGTTTTTGTCCTCTCTCCCTTCCTCTCATATTTAAACAAATAAAGAAAAAAATCCTAACTACTTGTTGAGTTTAATCCAACACGATATAGTAAATATATGTATGAACACTCAGTTTTTACGTGGAAACCCGAAAGGGAGAAAACCACGGGACTTTTTAGGCTAATGTCCAAGCCCTCTCATTCTCATTAATCTCTCCTCACCATTACATAGTTCAAGTATGGAAGCTCGCATTAATGGAGTTCTAAGCTATTCTAGTGAGAAGGAGGAAGAAGGAAAAGGTCCTTTACATGGAGGGAAAACCTCCTATAAATAGGGAAAGGGGTGAGGGAAGCTCTCCACCCTAATGGGCCGCATGGGCCGGAGTGGGCCCAAATGGCTAAAGTGGGCCGGATGGGCCGAAATGGGCCTAACTGCTCGGGCTCCATACTGAGTAATGTCTTGGGCTCCTGAACAGTAATAGGTCGGGATAATATATCCCAACACAAGTCCCCCAGTTTCTTGAGTAGTGAGTGCGCGAATCTGCTCGAGAAAATATATTCTTGCCTGCGCTCTTCCTCTGTCTTACTGGAAACTGTGTCTTCACATAATCATAATATATGAGTGAGTGTCTGCACTTCTGAACGTAATCTGCCGGTGAGGCACCCCCCCCCCTTCTCGACGGGGTCGGGCGAAGGGTGCTCCTCCACGGGCACGCCCCCCTGAATGCATCAGGCGGGAGTAAAGGACTCTGACTCGAGCTTTCCAACGGAGAAGCTTAGAGGTCCATGCATATATAAACCGACGTCGCGGTACTGGCAAGACACGATGCACGTGTGTATGTATGAATGTATGAGGTATGATGCTTGAATGCATGAATGCATGTAATGTATGGGTGCAATGTATGAGAGAGGGAATGCAAGATGTGATAGAAGTGGTGGCTCTCATCGATGACCCGGGCATGTCAGCGCCGAGAGGCAGACGTGCTGCATAAGACGGGTCCCCCATCCGGGATGGCATGGGCGGAGCCGAAGGTGGACTAGACATGATGCCGCCGAGGGGCCAATCATGCTGCATAAGAGATGCTCGCCGCCATCCTGGAAGGGATGGGCGAGCCGAACATGAGCCGGGTACGATGGCGCTGAGGGGCCGATCGTACTGCATAAGACGTTCGTCGCCATCCTGGAAGAGATGCGCGATCCGAACCGTGAAGCCAGGTACAATGGCGCTGAGGGGCCGATCGCACTGCATAAGACGTTCGTCGCCATCCTGGAAGAGATGCGCGATCCGAACCGTGAAGCCAGGTACGATGGCGCTGAGGGGCCGATCGCACTGCATAAGACGTTCGTCGCCATCCTAGAAGAGATGCGCAATCCGAACGTGAAAAAGACACGATGGCGCTGAGGGGCCGATCGTGCTGCATAAAAGATGTTCGCCGCCATCCTGGAAGGGATGGGCGAGCCGAACATGAGCCAGGTACGATGGCGCTGAGGGGCCGATCGTACTGCATAAGACGTTCGTCGCCATCCTAGAAGAGATGCACGATCCGAACCGTGAAGCCAGGTACGATGGCGCTGAGGGGCCGATCGTACTGCATAAGACGGTTGTCGCCATCCTGGAGGGAATGGGCGAGCCGAACCGTGAATCTGGACACGATGGCGCTGAGAGGCCGATCGTGATGCATAAGACGTTCGTCGCCACCCTGGAAGGGATGGACGAGCCGAACCGTGAGTCTGGACACGACGGCGCTGAGGGGCCGATCGTGATGCATAAGACGGTCGTCGCCATCCTGGAGGGAATGGGCGAGCCGAACCGTGAGTCTGGACACGATGGCGCTGAGGGGCCGATCGTGATGCATAAGACGTTCGTCGCCACCCTGGAAGGGATGGACGAGCCGAACCGTGAGTCTGGACACGATGGCGCTGAGGGGCTGATCGTGATGCATAAGACGTTCGTCGCCACCCTGTAAGGGATGGACGAGCCGAACCGTGAGTCTGGACACGATGGCGCTGAGGGGCCGATCGTGATGCATAAGACGGTCGTCGCCACCCTGGAAGGGATGGACGAGCTGAACGTGAGCTGGGTACGATGGCGCTGAGGGGCCGATCGTACCGCATAAGACGGTCGTCGCCATCCTGGAGGGAATGGGCGAGCCGAACCGTGAATCTGGACACGATGGCGCTGAGGGGCCGATCGTGATGCATAAGACGTTCGTCGCCATCCTGGAGGGAATGGACGAGCTGAACGTGAGCTGGGTACGATGGCGTTGAGGGGCCGATCGTACTGCATAAGACGATCGTCGCCATCCTAGAGGGAATGGACGAGTCGAACCGTGAATCTGGACACGATGGCGCTGAGTGGCCGATCGTGATACAGAAAAATAGTGATGATCATCTCATGGCCCTCGGCCTGTCGGTGAGCGATAATCGTCTCACGGCCCTCGGCCGTGCTGGTGATGTGTCAAGTCTCTCTCCTGATTGGCTGTGAGAAGCCGATCATCTGCCAGGACTCCATCCGAGAAGGAATGGTGAGCCTGAAATAAATCTGGGCGATGTCCCTCCTACCTGATCTGGGGAGCTGATCGTCGTTCGTCTACCGTATCCGTGGTCCTATGTACGGACCGCTAAGCGGTGTACACTCGGTACGCAACAGACTCCGGTGGAGAACTGGTCCTTCGTGTCTGATCTATGGAGCTGGTCTTCGTTCGTCTACCGTATCCGTGGTCCTATGTACGGTCCGCTAAGCGGTGTACACTCGGTACGCAACAGACTCCGGTGGAGAACTGGTTCTTCATGTCTGATCCATGGAGCTGGTCTTCGTTCGTCTACCGTATCTGTGGTCCTATGTATGGACCGCTAAGCGGTGTACACTCGGCACGCAACAGACTCCGGTAAAGAACTGGTTCTTCGTTCTTCCCAAGTCTCGTGAGTACTGGTCTCCTGGTTTCGCAGGAGACGTTCGCCATCCCAACTATGAGAAGAAACAGGTTTATCCACGTCGGGATTCCCTATCTCTGTTCGTCCCCAGTCGTGAGTTACTAGTCTTCTGGCTTCGCAGAAGACGTTCGTCATCCGTCCATAAGGGGGAGGAACCGGTACACCCTGTCGGGGTTCCCGTTTTTTCGTTCGTCCCTGTCGTGATCCTACTAACCTTCTTCCCTCGAAGAAGACGTTCGGTCATTCACCGATCGCAAGGAGGAACTGGTTTACCCTATCGCGGGTTCCCTGCTTCGTCGTCCCATGCTCGTGGCCCTACTAGCCTTCTGCTTTGGCAGAAGGTGTTCATCGATCCACGGGAAATGGGAGGAACTGGTTTATCCTGCCGAGGTTCCCTTTGGTACGTCTAGCCTCCCCCACGTTCCTACTAACCTCCGCGTCGGGAGACGTTCGTCATACGCGGCGAAGGAAGATCAGGCATACCTCGTCAAGACTCCCTCTCTCATAGGAGCTTCTCTCTCCCCTTCTCCCCATCTTTCTTTACTCTTTCTTTTTTTTTCTTTTTTCTTTTTTTTTTTTTGAGGGAGGAAAATACGTTCGTCGGTTCCAAGAATAACCACAAGTGATGTCACACATGATGGTGGTGGGATATCAAAATGAATAGAATGACGAGGCGATGGAAATGTTTGTCGCCATGCGAAGGCGATGGTCACCCTCCTGAAGGGAGGGGTGAGCCCGATCGCTAACTCAAGAAGGTCGGCATTGGGAGCCGATATACAATGATCATAATGTCGCTGAGCAGTCGGTCCTGATAATGGAGATGGCAATAGTGTCCGGTCAGGCCGATATATCCGAGCAACGGCTCTCATCCAACGCAGCGCGGGGATGAAACCGGTCTTCAAAAGATAAACATGCCGTGCCGAGAGGCCGAACATAACATGATAGTGTCGGCAGTGAGAGGCCGACCTGAAAGAATCAAACAATGGTCCTCGTCTGCGAGGTGGCGGGGACGAGGCCGGTCTTCAAAAGATAAGCACGCCAAGCCGAGAGGCCGGTCGTGGTATGATGATGTCGGCGATGAGAGGCCGAACATGATGTGACAGTGTCGGCAATGAGGGGCCGACCTGAAAGAATCAAGCAACGGCCCTCATCCGCGAGGAGCGGGGATGAGTCCGGTCTTCAAATGTGGAAAACACGCCAAGCCAGGAGGCTGGTCGTGATATAACGATATCGGCAATGTGAGGCCGATCTGAGATAGCAAGCAACGGTCCTCATCGACGAGGAGCGAGGATGAGGCCGGTCTTCGAAAGATAATGGCACCGTACCAGGGGGTCGGTGGCCATGTAAGAGTGTCGGCCTGGGGGCCGATCAGAAAGAACCAAGCAACGGTCCTCATCCGCGAGGAGCAGGGATGAGTCTGGTCTTCAAAAGATAAGACGTCGTGCCAAGAGGCCGGTCATGATGTAATGATGTCGACAATGATAGGCCGACCTGAAATCCAAGCCACGGTCCTCATCCGCACAGTGCGGGGACGAGGCCGGTCTTCAAATATAGAAAGCACGCCGAGCCGGGAGGCCGGTCGCGATATAATGGTGTCGGCCATGAGAGGCCGATCTGAGAAAACAAGCAACGGCCGTCCTCCGCGAGGAGCGGGGATGAAACCGGTCTTCAAATATGATAATCATGTCGTGCCGAGGGGCCGGTCATGGTATGATGGCGTCAGACGGCCCTCGGCCGTGACGATCTCTTCTAGGCCCTTGGCCTCCGAATGACGGGTGAGCGTCTCACGGTTCTCTGTCATGGCATTCGCCTCTAGACCCTCGGCCTCTGGGTGTTCTTCCTAGGCCATCGGTTTCTGGGGTGGAGATGCTCGTCCCACGGTTCTCAACCGTGGTGGTCTCCTCTAGGCCGTGATGGTCTCCACTTTAACTGGCCCTGAACGTCTTTGAGACTTAGGCCGATCGTCTTTTAATCATTTCGCTCGAGCGCGTCGAGCGGCTTCAGCTGCGCAATAAGCATGGTAACGGGCCGCACGGCCCGACAATATGTATACACACATAACCATCTGCATGGCTTTCTTTCTAACACCCACGATTACCGGCCTATGGGTTACCGTGACCCTCGGCCCGGCTCATCGTGCGGGGTTAATGGACGTAGCAGCTCGCGGCGGGACCAACTAGCAGCCCACCGAACGTCACATAGAAATATTCACCGGTCTGTGAGTTTTCAACTCAGACCCAAGTTGGTCGCACTGCCCTCGGAAAAAGGAGGTTGAGCGCTTTGGTGCCTTCGGGCCCCACAGGCCGCGTTTGGCACAGTCACTTCGCGCCTAATGGCGTAAATGGTACTAGGGTACGATCGTCGTTCGAGCACTCGGTGTCGTGCGGACTAATGCGTAACCCCCCAAATTAAAACGCGTCATCGGGGCACTACTCTCTGGAGACGCTCAGATCGCTAATCAAGCTGACCGAGAGTGGGCCATCGGGGCCACAAGAAATTAAATACTTAATAAAATGTTAGCTGAACTAACCATCACTTGAGCCTCGCTCAGCATTATTTAATTCGGGACATTTTATCCCTAATAAATAATAGTGACACAACCGGTAATAGCAATGATACTTTCCTATCAAAGGCCATTCAAGTATACTCCGTTCGCTAATCAAAGCCGATCAGGAGCGGGCCGACGGGCCCACAACAACCCATCATTAATTAAAATGACGGTGAAAATAATTATCACTAGAGCATCGCTCCACATTATTTAATTCGGGACATTTTATCCCTAATAAATAATAGTGATGTAAACATACTAGCAAACGTAATATTTTAATCCAAAACAAATACTTTAATTAGTAAGTGAGGAGCCGAGGAGGGTTTATGTGGTACTTAGCTCTTGGAGTGTGATTGTTCGCATAACCATTAACCAAGTAGGCAAGTTGGGAATTACTTTGACCAGGATGAACGTACATCCCATTGCTACAGTCCCCCATCACATTGGGACAGGCTAGCAGCTTTCCCCTGCGACCAGAAGGCAGTCCTAGGCTACTGTGCCTATCCGGTCCTCCACGCCCTCACCCCTTCAATATTCCGCGGTGGCCGTGGGGATAGTCGCGGCCGATCGGCGGCAGTATCGGAGAAGGTGGCCTGCGGGCACCCACGAACGGCGGCAGGGACTTCCCGTTGTGATGTCCTCATCGCGTCGAGGGGGCTTGTCTTCCTTTGAAGGTGAGCTGTGGCCATTAATGGCGGACCACTAGAATCCCTGCCTGGCATGAGGTGACCGGAGACCATTTGACGGCCATGTCATCCTCACCTGGAGTGGTGCTCTCTGTGGCTGGTCTGCTGCGGCTCTGCGGCAGCAAGGTCCTGGACTGGGAAGGCGAACTTCAGTGAGCAGGAAACATCAGCCAATGGCTCACGGTGGCGGCGAGGTTGCTGATGGAGCTCCGGCGGATCCAGATCCGAATAATCCCAGACCCGAATTCCTAACCCTTTCTCTCATTTTTTTTCTTTCCTTTCTTGCTGAAATCCAAAACCTCCAGCATCAAATTTTTCCTTCTTCCCAGATCCAGAACTTCTCAGAATCACTTTTCCAGAATTTTTTCCTCTTTTTTGCTGGAATCAGTCCACTTCGTATGAATTGTAGAAACTCAAGAACAGTAGAATACATGAATCTTTTTGGACAGATTCCCACAGACGGCGCCAGTGTTGAGTTTAATCCAATACGATATAGTAAATATATGTATGAACACTCAGTTTTTACGTGGAAACCCGAAAAGGAGAAAACCACGGGACTTTTTAGGCTAATGTCCAAGCCCTCTCATTCTCATTAATCTCTCCTCACCATTACATAGTTCAAGTATGGAAGCTCCCATTAATGGAGTTCTAAGCTATTCTAGTGAGAAGGAGGAAGAAGGAAAAGGTCCTTTACATGGAGGGAAAACCTCCTATAAATAGGGAAAGGGGTGAGGGAAGCTCTCCACCCTAATGGGCCGCATGGGCCGGAGTGGGCCCAAATGGCTAAAGTGGGCCGAATGGGCCGAAATGGGCCTAACTGCTCGGGCTCCGTACTGAGTAATGTCTTGGGCTCCTGAACAGTAATAGGCCGGGATAATATATCCCAACACTACTTTACTTGGGTTGCTTCTACAGTAACTTCAGCCAATGCAACAAAAAAATAACTCCAACTTTACTTTTTCTTATTATTACATAACTCAGTGCGCAATCAAAAGTTGTCTGATAAGCCGAAAATGATCTCCAAATAGGCTCTAAATGTATTTGAACAAATTAGGGGAGGGGAGGGGCGACCCCACTTGTTCCTTTTGTCTCTGCCAGTGGTACCAGATAGTCTGATACCAAACATGGAGTATGAGTATATAAGAAAAAAAACACATGGAGTAGGAGTATATAAGGTGATTTACCTTATGTAGTATAGTTAAGTATGGTACGGTACACGTGTTATGTGTAATTAACTTGCATGTTTTTTTTTGTTATGATGATGACGGGCGCGACAGCTGCTGAGTAGTGTTATGTCCTCAAAATCGGTTCTCAATTCTATGTTTCTCCCGCTGGCAGTGCCTCGCTCGGATGGAATATGATTTGTGATGAATTAAAAGGCACACCCATTTAAAAGGCAGCTGCTGAGTATGATTTATTAGAGATTTCTTAGCCTCGATTGATTGTGAAGGAAAGATAGACACTGATGCGCCTATGGTTTTACCAAAAAAAAGGCACACCCATTTTTTATAGCCAAGGCTTAGAGTGTTGATTATTATTATACATGAGAACCAAGATCTACACATCACACAACATATTTGATAAAGAATCATATACAAGTTCATATATGTGAACTTACATGATGGAAAGCCAATCCTTGGTAGACCATGATTTGTTGATGAAGAAGCCATTGTTGTCCTTGTGGTGAATGGATGGGTAATCCCTTTTAGGACAATAATAGATGGAGTGAAATTTAGGGAGTTGTGTTTCTCTCCTAGGCTTATGGTGTTGTTGTACGTACGTTTCAATGAGAGGGAGAAAGGGTATTTATAATGAGAATACTCAATAGTCACAACTCTTCATTCTTGTCCTAAAGGGTGTTACCACAATGGTACCCCTTAAGTATTATTTCCATCAAATAATACATAAATATATATAATGCATAATTATATATACAATACATAAATATAGAACACATATTAATATTGGTCCTAAGGCCATATTAAATGGAAATAATCCAACATTCTCCCACTTGGCCGAGTGACCAATAATCATTAAGTTGGCCGAGTATGTGTTCTATATACCCAATATCTATACTATAATAGAGAAGTACAGTCACACGCATCTATGTAGATATGGGACCCCCACTAATCATATTATAGCACATGTATTAGGACTTTAAGGTCATTAAACATAAATGATCAAATGTAATGTGGTAATTAATATTAAGTTGTCTATGATACCAAAATCAGTGCGCACGGTATACATATAATAGACAATTAAGAATTCAAGTATTTATTTATATACATGAATTGTTCATAAGAGCACTATGCCAATTAAGTGAGGTCTCGACTAAAACCCATTTTCATCACATGTTCTTGAAAAATCTTGGGTGGTAGACCTTTTGTCATCGGATCCGCAAGCATATCATGAGTGCTAATGTACTTGATACAAAGATTATTTTCTTCCACTCGTTCACGTACAAACAGGAACTTTGTATCGAGATATAATCCAGCCCCACTCGAACTATTTCCATTTGAAAAGCTCACGGCTGCAGAATTATCACAATAAATCTTCAGTGGTCTCGAAATGGAGTTTACTACCTTGAGTCCTTTAATTAGATTCCTCAATAGCATTCCGTGACATGTTGCATTGTAAACTGCAACATATTCCGCCATCATAGTTGAGGTGGTAGTCAATTCTTGTTTATGACTCCTCCATGATATCGGCCCACCTGACATCATAAAAACATATCCCGATGTCGACTTCTTATCATCTTTGCATTTAGCAAAGTCAGAATCGGAAAATCCCACAACTTCCAGAGCATTAGTTCTTTTATAAACAAGTTTGTAATCTTTTGTCCCTTGAAGATATCTTAAGACTTTCTTAGCGGCTTTCCAATGATCTAGACCAGGGTTAGATTGATACCTTCCTAGCATGCCAGATATATATGCGATATCAGGACGAGTACAAACTTGAGCATACATCAAACACCCTACTACTGATGCATAGGGAATTAGTCTCATTTGCTCCTTTTCTTCTTCAGTTTTTGGACATTGAAATAAACCAAAAACATCTCCCTTAACTACTGGAGCAACTGATGGGGAACAATGTTGCATATTGAAACGTGCAAGGACACGTTCAATGTACGCCTTTTGAGACAATCCTAAAGTCCCATTGACGCGATCTCGGTGGATTTCTATGCCTATTACATAAGAGGCTTCCCCAAGATCCTTCATGTCAAAATTACTTGAAAGTAACCGCTTTGACTCATGCAACATATCTAAGTTGTTACTTGCCAACAAAATATCATCAACGTAAAGTACTAGAATGGCAAACTTGCTCCCACTCATTCTCAGATATATACATTGATCCACTTGATTCTTTATGAAGCCATTTTTCTTGATGACTTCATCAAACTTCAAGTACCACTGACGTGATGCTTGTTTGAGCCCATAAATTGATTTCTTAAGTTTACAAACTAGGTGTTCTTGTCCCTTAGGCTTGAAACCTTCTGGTTGGGACATGTACACATCCTCATGTAAGTCTCCATTAAGAAATGCCGTTTTGACGTCCATTTGATGTAATTCTAAATCAAAATGAGCTACTAAAGCCATGACAATTCGCAAGGAATCCTTTCTCGAAACCGGTGAGAAAGTTTCTTGATAGTCAATTCCTTCCTTTTGGGTATAACCCTTTGCAACCAACCTCGCTTTATAACGTTCAATGTTTCCTTTCGGGTCAAGTTTGGTTTTGAAGACCCACTTGCATCCTACGGGTTTAACACCCTTAGGCAATTCGGCAAGTTCCCACACATTGTTTTTGCTCATGGAATCAAGCTCATCAATCATAGCTTCATTCCAATGAGATGATTGGGCGCTCATAATAGCTTCATTATACGTCATGGGATCATTACATTTTCCTAAGTCACTAATGACCTCATTAAGGTATATGACGTAATCATCAAAATTAGTAGGGCGTCTAGATCTATTAGATCTCCTTAGTGGCGGTTCAGGCTCATGAGATTCTTCTTGAATTTCCGGAATTGAATTGCCTTGATTTATGTTGTCATTTGCCTCAAAATTTGATGTGCCTTCATTATGTGGTACATTTGAGGCAATATCACCCTCAAGAGATGCATTAGGCATAATAGGGATTGGTATAGCCGTCGTACTCTCCTCCCCCATCTCTTGGAGATCAACAACATTAGGTGAAGAACTCCCACTCATGTTAGAGTTCTCTAGGAACTCAGCATGTCTTGTCTCAACAATGCGTGTACTATGTGAAGGGCAATAAAATCGGTATCCCTTTGAACGTTCGGGATATCCAATAAAAGAACAACTGACGGTTTTCATGTCAAGTTTTCTTTGTTGGGGATTATAGAGTTTAGCTTCAGCTGGACATCCCCATACCTTGAGATAGCGTAAACTTGGTTTTCTTCCTGTCCATAATTCATAAGGAGTTTTAGAGACAGATTTTGAAGGAACCCTATTCAAGATATGAACTGCCGTTTTTAATGCTTCTGTCCATAAGTATTGAGGCAATTTGGAGTTAGCCATCATACTCCGCACCATGTCCATAAGAGTTCTATTTCTCCTCTCGGCAACGCCGTTCTGTTGAGGAGTACCTGGCATGGTGTATTGGTTCACTATCCCATGTTCTCTACAAAATTCAAAGAAAAAACCAGGAGATTGACCAATATCGGTGTGTCTACCATAGTACTCACCGCCTCTATCCGATCTCACAACTTTTATCTTTAGGTCAAGTTGATTTTCAACTTCGGCCTTAAAAGTCTTAAACATATCAAGTGACTCGGATTTCTCCTTAATCAAGTACAAGTACATATATCGCGAGTAATCATCAATAAAGGTAATAAATGATCTATGTCCGCCAATGCCTTCGGGAAAAGGTCCACAAATATCAGTATGTATTATTTCCAACAACCTTGAGCTACGTGTGGACCCTTTCTTATTCCCCTTTGCCAATTTTCCTTTTATGCATTTAATGCATGTATTGAAATCTGAGAAGTCTAAAGGTGGTAAGACTCCATCTTTTATGAGACGTACCATCCTATCTCGGGAAATGTGGCCTAAGCGTTGATGCCATAATTTAGACGAAGTTTCCCCTTCTCGTTTCCTTTTGCTCACACATTCATCAATATTGCAGGATAGTAAGAACTCCATAAAATGATTATCAAGAGACAATTTATAAAGATAACCATCCATACAACCATAGCCAACAACATTATTATTGAAACTTATAGCAACATTATTGTATCCAAACATAAAAGTGTAGCCATCATATGCTAACTTTGATACAGATATTAAGTTTCTGGTAATATTAGGAACATACAGAATGTTTTTAAGACTTAAACTATGACCACTTTCTAACATTAATGAAAGTGATCCTACAGCTTCAACATTTAAGTCTTCATCATTCCCCACTTTAATTGTCCTTTGGCTTTGGTGCAGTTGTTGGATTGTATGGAATCCCTGCAAAGAATTTGTGACATGAACCATGGAACCAGAATCAAGCCACCATGAGTTAGCAGGAACATTTATATTAAAAGACTCATAGATCATAAACAAATCATGACTACCTTTCTTTGCAAGCCATTCTTTGAACTTGGAACAATCTCGTTGATAATGTCCTTTCTTATGACAGAATTTGCAACGAAGTTGTTTCAAAGCCCCCTTTGAGCCAGGCGTTGCACTTGTACTTGCCTTAGGAACCTTTGAACTCTCTCCAACTTGAGACTTACCTTTCCTTTTGAATGAGCTTGAAGTAGTGGTGACATGAGCAACATCCGGTTTCTCAACTGTCAGGCGTTCCTCCTCTTGCACACACATGGCTATCAACTCACTCATTTTCCACTTTTCCCTTTGAGTGTTGTAGTTGATCTTAAAAGGGCCAAACTGTGTGGGAAGAGAAGTCATGATGAAGTGGACGAGAAAGCCCTCACTTATCTCCATATCCATGCCTTTGAGCTTATTTGCCATATCACTCATCATCATAATATGCTCACGCACACCACTAGTACCATTGTATTTTGTGGTCAACATCTTCAAGATCAGTGTACTTGCATGAGCCTTGGAGGTGCCCTTAAATTGTTCCTCGACCGAGTCCATGTATGTCTTCGCGTTATCCGAATCAGGGATAGCACCGCGAATTGCTACTGAAATTGAGTTCTTGATTATCATTAGCGACATACGGTTTGACCTCTCCCAAATTTCATGAAACCTTTTCTGCTCATGAGTTGATTCAGCAGTCAAAGGTTCAGGGGGGTCATACCTCAAAGCATGGTCGAGGTCCATAACTC